TCAAGACAAAATAAATAGAGATTAGTACAAAAGTTGAAGTTTTTATTATGTGAGGCTGTCAATGGGCCACTAGGAAAGTTTCTGAGATAAAGAGAGTACCAAACAAACAAAAAAGTTACTTGTTTTGTCAAGATGTTTTAATCCCCTTCCCTTGTTTAGTTTTAAGCCAGTGCTGTGATGAGCGTTAATAAATTTGATCACCTATGGCCCTCTGGAGTGATGAAGGACATTTGCATGCTTTTTGCAAAGGACACAAACCCTGCTTTACTAGCAGTGGAATTCAAAGCATTGATTTATTTGTGAGACCTTGGAGCACAGTGGCGCCCTTCGGCATGGGCTACCCACATTCCAGACCCCTTATTTGACACAGCACACAGCTGGCACATAATGTTTCTGTGGCTGCAAGCAGTTCACAACCTATGCAACAATATATCAGTTTAAATTGCAGAGCTGTAGAAAGTAACCTGGAGAATATCTAGCTCAACCACCTAGCCCATGTAGACTTCACACAGTGTAGGCTGCTGTTTACAGTAAAATGAGACAAGGTTTTCATGTCTCATTTTAACTACCTTATTTTTTGGACTATAAGATGCACTCCCCCCCCCAAAAAAGTGGGTGGAAATGTCTGTGTATCTTACAGAGCAAATGTTGCCAAAGCCCCCACCCCCCCACCCGCCGCCCCCCCCACCCTTCGCCTCTGCCGCCCAGCAATTTGCCTCCTTGCAGCAAACAGCAAACAGCCTGGTCAGCTTTAGCACAGACTGATTTAGCACGAGCAGCTGATTGGTGGTTGGATCTGCCTCCCGGAATACCTCTGATCAGCTGTTCCAGGCTGCGGGGATTGCCGCCGCCCATCAGTGCCTTTGCCGCCCATCGCCATCGTCACCACCACCTATCACCGTCTCTGTACGCCCTATTTTTGGCCTCCATGTGTCATGTGTTTGGCCTGTTCCAGGCAGTGGAAATCCCTGCCACCTGGAACAGCTGATTGACAGTATTCCGGGAGGCTGATCCAACTGCTAATCAGCTGCTTGCATTAAATCAGGCTGTGCTGAAGCTGACCATGTTGTTTGCTGTTTGCTGCAAGGAGGCAAATTGCTGGGAGGCAGAGGCAGATTTTGTTTTCTTGTTTTCCTTCCCAAAAGCTAGGTGTGTCTTATGGTCCAAAAAATATGGTATACCTGATAAAGGAGAGCCAGCCATCTTTTGAGAAAACTTTTCCTTTCTCAGAAAAGCTCTAACCACTAGATACTTGATCCTAACATTTAGCTGAACATTCAGTTTCCACCTCTCAATTCTAGTTCTGCTCTTTGGCACAATAAAGAACAAGAAGTCTGCTCTGTCTTTTGTTTGCAGCCTGCCAACTATTCCTTTCAGTGCATTTGTTATGGATTTGAGAACTGCGGACTGGAAGTTCTGCAGGCACTTAGATTTAAGAGTAGACACTTCATGGAGAATTACAGAAAGGTGAGGGCTGCTGGGAAGTTGTAGCTTAGTAACTTTCCCAATGCTACAGGTTGCCATTTTTGCTAATTTTAGTTGCTTAATAGATTAAAGAAGAACTGAGCAATTATTTTTTTTTTACCCTGGGAGCACAACTCTTCTTTTTGGCTTGTTTGCGGCCATGATCAATGATTTCTTTCTTTCTTCTTTTTTTTTTTTGATGAAACTGCTGAAGTTTCAGATTTGCTTTTTCTTGTTTGGGGCTTTGGGAGATTTTAAGAGACAAACTGAGTGGCTCGGTTCTTATAGGTTCTTATAATATTCAGGTTACCTCATAAAGCTTCCAAAACAGGTAAAAAAAATCTGATTTGGAGGAGGATGAAACCAATAAAAGCCTGAAACCACTTTGAAGAATTATCCCCAACCCTCTATCCTTTCCCATGAATATAATTCTGTACAGAAGAGCTCTAGAGTTATAAATGGGCTAGATTTATTTATTTAGCATATGGCACATGTTACCCAGGGATCACTGAAGTGGCTGGCTGCCTCTGTGAAAGGAATTTTTTGGGTGGTGTTATCTTACCCCTGGGATGCCTGAATGCCAGTAGGCAATCGGGAGAGGCTCCTTTCCTGTCCCTACATGGTTTATTTGCTCACAGGAATCGAGCTGCTGAGCTGCCGACCTCAGCGGAGTGCAGGTTCAGCATCTTACCACGTGAGCCACCGCAACCCCTCTAGTGGGCTAGAACTTTGATGTTTTTGCTCAAGAGGCTGACGGTTGCCCACTCTGGTTTATGGGGCTCCAACAGTCCAAAATCTAGAGCCTCTCCATCCGGGGTGAAATCCAGCAAGTTCTGACAGGTTCTGGAGAACCGGTAGCAGAAATTTTGAGTAGTTCGGAGAACCAGCAAATACCACCTCTGGCTGGCCCCAGAGTGGGGTGAGAATGGAGATTTTACTATATCTTTCCCCCAGGAGTGGGGAGCGAATGGGCATTTTGCAGTATCCTTCCCCTGTAGTGAGGTTGGAATGGAGATTTTGCAGTATCCTTCCCCTGCCACACCCACCAAGCCATGCCCACCAAGCCACACCACTGCCCACCAAGCCATGCCCACAGAACCAGTGGTAAAAAAATTTGAATTTCACTACTGCTCTCCATATTGAACAAAATTAAAAAAAAAAGTATCAGATATTTTTTTGGGGGGGGGGGGATTTCTCCAGTCTGAGTATTATCCACCCATTTTTGACTTGGCAGAAAACTATACTGTCTCTGTAGATTCCTGACTTTCTTCCAAGGGCCTAACAAGTTCTTCACATTTCACAGCTTTCACCCAGCTAAGGACAACTTAAGCCTGTTTTACTCATGGGCTGGGCATGAGATGAAGACTATACAATGAAGTCAAGATTGAAGAAACAGTTGTTTGTCCCATAGTGAGTGCATGGAGGAAAATCCCCTTGAAACTACTGTAACATAGGAAACAAGACTATGATAGAATCATGGTGATCTTCTCTTACAGAAGAACATGAAAGTTTTCAGTGTTTTCATAAACATATGATAAGTAATAATAGCTATATATTAACTTTGCTAATAGAGGCCCTTACCTCCGTTATGCTTTTTCAGGGGAAACCACGTTGGAGGGAATGAAAATGAATGGAATTGTATTCTGCTGATTGACTTCTAGTTGACTTTGGAATGGCCTCCATGATAATGGAATGCTGGAAGTGGTACAGGGCTGATTTGATCCAGAAGATTTTAACACTGGTCTTAATGAAATCAATGAGAATCTTTTCAGAATACAAGAAAAAAAATACTTCTGTTCAGATCATGCTTATTTTATTTACTCTGTTGTTACAGGTGGCTTAGGCAGCTTTACAAGGTTGCTTATTTATTTATTTAGAAAATATTATTATTGGCTTTTCCTTAAAGATAACCGATGAGTAAGAAAAAACCAACCACATATAATGGACAAAAGTGAAATCCATAGTGAAGGTCAGTAGCAACACTCACAGTCACAATTAGGAAAGTGTCCAGCAAAACCAGCATGATCTAATAATCCTTCAGTTTATGCATGGAAATTCCACAGTCTTTCTGAATAGATGCAAAATGTCTTTGGTGCTATAATCTAGGGATGTTCTGGGGAGGAACCTCATATGGTAGGCCTCTCTAAAGCCACCATTTGAAACAGTCAGGAAGATCAGTGTTTTTCACTGAAGGTAGTAAAACAAATAAATTGAAATATAATCCCATAAATTTTTTGTTTTTATATTTGGGGATTTTCCACTCATTCCTCTTTACTGAGCCATTAATTTCAATGATACTGGTATAGAGAAATTAGTGAAAAAAATGGGAAAAGAGTTCATTTTATTTCCACGTCTCTAAGAGTCTTAAGAAGATTCCATACTAAGCCACCTTGCATGACACAAATATTGTATCAACTCAGTCAATATATTTGTTTCAGGGAACTAGAAATTTACAGTACACTACAGTTCTACTGATTTCTGTATATATGTTTTTTAGTTTGCCTTTTAGCTTGTCCTCAGTCTCCCCTTTTAAAAGGAATAAGATCTTTGATCAAATGACTATTGCTACTTTGAAACTAAATTCTTCATTTTCCCTTCTTCCTAAACATTCTGGGATAAAAATGCTGACATTTAATTTCAAATGTTTTCTTTCCAGAAAAGAAAGGATACACCCTCACTCCTTCTAAAAATAAATGATACATTGCTAGTGATTGGAAGGCCGGCAAGATTGGATCATGTGGTTTGTATTATAGAGCTCTCCTCCCCCGGTGCCTATGGCTAATCCTTATCTGCAAAACTAAAATATTTCTGCTGTTAAGCATATTCCCACAGCAGCGGCAGCCTTCTCTTTTCCAGTGGCCAGCTGGATGCCAGTTTGGATTTTGCACCGCACCAAGATCACTTTAATCTAATTCTATTTCCATTCCAAGAACACCATTTGTACATTGTCCAGCTTGGAAATGTTAACTTGACACTACTGGCCATGATGTGTCATTTCTCTTCAAGTGGCAAATTTCCAATGACCTGCCAGTGGAGCATTTACGCTGGAATGTTTCTGCACGCACAAAAAATATACTATTTGTTCTTTTGTAAAAGGTCATGCCAAAATGTGAACATTTCCTAGCTAATGGCGAGGCCAGTTTCGTTTCGTTTCGCAAAGAGCCACATTACTTCAGAAACAGCAGACTCTGCTGTCTCTGTAATACCTTCTTTTTTTCTCTTTCTGACATTCTCATATCTTACTTCTGTCCTGAACATCATACAGCAGGAATGGGACAGCTCACTCTTAGAAGTCTGAAAGAATCTCTTTTGAGTTAAATCATGAGCTGTGTAATATTAAGCTGAAGGCTGCAATGTATGCATCCATATTTTATACAGCTATCACAGGTTCAGATATGGAGACAGTTTAAATAATATAGTTTAGGCATATGTTCCAAGTTCAAAATGTTCCAAGCTATCAGAACAAACCCCATATTTCAGATGAAAACATTGCTGTTCCCAGTGGTGCTGTGTCAAGTATTTTAGCTATCCTGAGCACTGCAGCTGAACTTCTATTTTATGACTTGTGATTAGGTTGGGGATATATTTTTTTCCCCTAGCTTAGAATGTTGAGACACAGAAACTGTCCCTGTTGTTATAAGCCTAGCCTGGATGGGATGATCTGAGAAATGGAAAGCTGAGGGAAAGCAGCAGTTTATAACCACATGCCTTATGTCAAGAGTAACTCTGCTGTTTCCTATTTCTTCAGTAAGGACTCACGACTCCTGGCAGCTGCCTGGAAGTAAGTTGCAGTATTGCTTATTCTTAAACGACTTGTTTTGTGGAAGTTAGAATTCATGTGGATGGATTGCGTATGGGATATATTTTGTTTCTGGTGTATGGAGGTAACAGGCAAATGAAAGAAAGTCAATGAGCATGTCCAAGGCCTGTTCTGTTTCAGACACAATTCTTTGCTAATATTGTTGAGGTTTTATGCTTTTTGCTGTGCGTTAATAGTCTGCATTAGTTTGTTGAGTTCTGGTTCAATCTTGTGCTATGCAGATTTTTGTATCACATGTTGAGCCATGTTGAGTTTCAGAAAACATTTATAGCTCAAATGACCTTTGCTTTTATTTGGGTTGATTTCTTGAGCCTTGGAGCATTTTTCAAAGTGAGTATATGCTGTAGGGTCTGTAGTAGTAGTAGTTCTTGTTTCTCCTCCTCCTCCTCCTCCTTCTTCTTCTTCCTCCTCCTCCTCTTATAACACACAACTTTTATTTAACTAAAGCATAGCCAATTTGAGCATTCTAATGGAACATTTTGAACAGGGTTATTTTGTTCCTGAAACAAAACATCTTCTCCATTTTGTTCACATCCCTAGTATAATTCCTTAATTTATTTATTTATAAATGTTTGTAAATTGCCATGCATGTACATTTTCCAGGGTGGTAAACAGTAGCAATAAAATCTTAAAGACAAAGGCCAAAGAAAAGCAGAGAAAGCATAGCTGATGAGTCAATTAAATCTTTTATAGTTATACTATCAACTTGAATCCAGTGTGGAAAAGATGCTGTTGTCAGGTGAGTTTTCCTAAAAAGAGTATTGCATAGAGGAAAACAACCTGCCTAATCTTGAAAGGTGGAAGACCAAAATTAAGCTCTTTGAAGAAGATTAGAGTGCACAAACAGACTCTGTAGAAGAAGATGGGGTTTTATTGAAGGTACTGTTTTAAATGCATTTATGTGCCTTGGTTATAGTCTATTGATATTTAGTCTTACAAAGACTTTGAAGATTTTATCTAAATGAATATTTGCCTTTCCTATATACTACTATGTGTACCTTGTTTCTATATACTACTATGTGTACCCTATATACTACTATGTGTACCTTCTAGCCCATGCATTATTAGATTAGTATAATTTAATTTAGGTACCAAACCACTCCAAACTTCATTTAGGCATTGTTAAGGTGCCTAAGTGAATAAAATTGAAAATACGATATAATAAATTTAAAAAGAAAAGGAAAGGAAAAAGAACAAGAATAAAGAACAAGAGCAGATGATGAGTCCAGCTAATTACATTAACATCCTCAAACATATCCTCTAGGAACTGCAATCACCATAGGCCAAGGCTGGGGAGGCACCTCAATTCAGAGGGCAGATACCATGGCAGAGAAGACATACTTCCTGGATCCTGATAGATGACATTGTTTAATTTATGAACTTGAAGTGTGCCAACCCTATTGCTTCATACTGGCTGAATAGACACTATGACAAATAGGCATTCCCTCAAATAACAAGGTGCTATATCATCTAGGGATTTATTTATTTATTTATTCCTTGAATTACAGCTGGAACCATACTGTACATACAGTACAACTCAGGAAGCAAGGATGTCACATGGACATATCAAGGCACTCCTGTTTCTGCCTGTGTTGCTGTATTCTAGACTAGCTGAAGTTTCTGAGTAGTCTTCAGGGACAGCCCCATGCAGTACTTAAGCATGAGTGATTGTCTGGAAGGATTTCCTGATCCAGGAAAGGATGCAACAGGCATATCAGATGGAGTTGTGCAAATACCTTCTTGGCCACATGTATCACCTGCTCATTGACCAAGAGCTATGAGTCCAGGAAGGCTCTTGAATGCACACGATTCCCAAATGATGAAGTACCTGCCAATACAAGGTTAACGATGGAATATTCCCAGATCCAGGTGACCCTAATGCCCACAGATAATCTGTCTTGGTAGGAGTGAGTTGGAAACCCCTTCAACTTCCAAGCACAGGAACATAACTTGAGATCTCACTCGGGTGCCCTGGGTTCAAAAGATACAACTGGATATCATCTGGTTTGGCTTGATTTGTTATGATTGTTTTAGCCTAAGATGCCTGTGGAGTTGTATGTTTTAACTGCATATATTGTTTGTATTTGTATTTCTAAGATGCTCAGAGTCTATAGGAGTGGGCAGCTATAATACATTTAAATAAATAATAAATAATTATAGTGCTGATGACACCAAACTCCACATCTTTGGATGACCTCAGCCAGAAATTTCACGTAAAGGTGAAAGAGCGTTGAACACTCCTACAAAGGATGGACCTAGCCAATACTGATTGCAACTGGTCCTTTCCTTGATTGCAACAATGGAAAACAGTGCCACTAATTCCCAACCTCTGGAGCCAATCTAGAAGGATACTATGGTCAAGAGTATTGAAAGCTGTATTAAAAGAGAGATCAAGAAGCCTATATCCAATGTCTACAATCTCTAATTGGTCTCAGTTAATAATCTTTTGCATTCTTTCAAGGCATATTCTAAACACATATTTTCCCTGTTTTCACAATAGAGCAATGTATTTGCTCAAAGAAATTAAATTAAGTAGAACTTCATTCCTATCAGTAGATATACCTACTAGTTTTGATAGTTTCTCTATCTATTTTGCCACCTTCATGACCAAGATCAAAAAGATTAATGACATGCATACGAGTACATCCCAAAGAGGGGAAATTAAGGTAAAATAATAGACTTTTTACATCTTGAAGACAAGATAAATAAGTACACCAAGTTTTCCAAGGGTTCTCTAAAGACTGTATGCTGAACTGTAATTTTAGAAGTACTATTTGGAAGAGAAATTGAATTTGGGTCATGAAGAAAATGTAGGGAAGCTTTATAGCCTAAATAAATATACAATACCATTTGCCATGGGATACTAGAAGACAGAGTCAACTGCTTTGACTGATAAATGGGAGAGACTGTGTTCCACTTTATGAACCTTCAGACTTTGCCACACATTAGTATATTTACAACTATGACTCTGATAGACCTAGTTTGGTATGGAAGGGTCTTTCTGCCACAACAGTTGGAACAGTGGTGAATCTGCTGGTCTAGAAACTAGGAACTGTGAGTTCTAGTCCTGCCTTAGGCATGAAAGCCAGTTGGATGACCTTAGGCTACTCACTCTCTCTCAACCCAATCCACCTCACAGGTTGTTGTTATGGGAAAAAAGAGGAGGAGGAAAAAGAAGTATTATATATGCTTGCTGCTTTGAGTTACTTATAAAGTAATAAAGGTGGGATAAAAATCAAATAAATACGTAAAAAATAAATAAAAGTTCATACTACCCAACTACGGAGAGTGCATGTTCATCTGGAAATCCTTAGAGTTCATCATCTGTATGGGTCTAATTCTAAGTGGATGTGTGTTAGGGGATGGGATATGAGATGTTTGATTCAGTTCCAAAGAAAAGAGTGAAGAAGCATTCCACAAAACATATGGAAACATTATTTTCAGGAATCAAAGTTAACTTGGTTGTTAAGGCCTAGTCTTCTCCTGCTGTTAATTGTCACATTGAATTTAACTTCCCAAGCCCAAATTGGATGATTCCCACATTTTCCTACTTACAAGAATTACAGAAATATGAACGAGATGTTTAAATATTATTTGTTTAGACATATTATCCAATGGTCTAAACAGAGATGAGGAACTGGGAACTACAGTTTTCAAAACTTCAGCCAACAAATCCAAAAATCAGGGATGCTAGGAGTGGTTTGTATGGACAAATATTGGGAAAGTTACAGGTATCACATCTTGCTCTAGAATACACATGAAAATTAAGAAAGGGGGTGGGGAATGATTGGTGGAATATGCTGTTCTTTGAAAGGATGTTAAGAAATATGCTATTCTTTGTAAAGTTGTTTCTTTTGTTTTGTTAAAATTAATATATGGGAAAGATGACACTGCATTTACAGAAGTGACATATGCTTACAGGTAATATACACATGTAAGAAGAGAGCCCCAAATTCTAACAACAACTCACTTCCTCCAAAGTCAGAATTGCTGCCCATAGCATGAACAAATCAAACTGCTTTTTAAAGTTTTATCCAACACTGCACTCTCAATAGTTGGTGTTAGGATACTGGAGTAGAATAAAGCACATATATTACAGCCTTACGAATGCAAATCCTTGACCAAAGAGGCAAAGAAGTGTCCTCAGAGATTTAAGAAGGAGATTGTTATTACTTCCAGCAATACAATTTATAGTTCTGAAATAATATTATATTTTGGGCTGCCTTCCATAATTGAAATAAGAAGTTGTGTTTTGCTCTGTGATTTGGCATCAGGAATGTTTTGAAACAGGAAAGGACTTTTTTTTTTTTGTGGTTCATTCAAATAATTTCAAGTTTTCAGATTTTTACTTGAGCTTCCTTTAGCAGCAAAGGAAAAACTGAGTTGAGGAAAAGAGTTTATGACATCCCATAAATATATAAAGAAACTCTACCTGTTCCATATCCATTTTTGAATGAAACACAATTTGAAAGAATTTGGAGAAAATTCTGGAAAAAATTGAAAAAGCATGTTTATCTTCCTCATCTTATCGGACCTGATCTCCTTAAACCAACAAAATTGTTCATAAATCTGGAAATTCTCAGGTTCCCATTTGAATTGCAGTGGATTTCATAGGATTTAGTTGTGCAAATTTTCAAGAATTGGGTTTCATGTTACTGCTGCTTTCCATTTTGATATGGAAATCCAAATTACTTTAATTTGGATTCAGGATACATATTTGTCTCTCTCTCTCTCTCTCTGTGTGTGTGTTTTAAAACTTTTTTGTTACTACTTTATGAACAGAAGATAAACACGTCATCTAAGATTAGAAACTGAAGAGGCGATATATCTCTGGAACAATTTTCTCCAATCTGGAGATTTTTTTTAAAATTACAATATTATATTTTCTATTCTGTTTGATTTTATTGTATCCCACCCAGAATCAGTTTGGATGGTGCCTAAATTGAATAAATGATATAAAA